AATTTTATACAGTAAGTCGAATGTCGGAAGACATCGGGAAGAAAAGACGCGATTCTGTGATGCGTATCTTTTTCCACTTCTTCCATCTAAAGATCTTGAATACATCTCGTTTCTGAAAGACCTCCGCCGTCGCGACTGCGAGCTCTCTGAAGCCGAAAGAAAATCCACTTATTTCCAGACTGATCTCAGTTGATGTTGTCTCCGGGCGCCACAGGCAACCACCATTCGGCGAGGACAAATAACGCTGCCCCGTGATTTCATGTTTCGCCTGGCAGCTGCATCGCTTCGTTCCGCTTCGTTCTGCTTTGCGAACTTTATCGAGCGCGCGATATCGTCAGTGTATCATCTGACCGCATCGCAACTATTAATCCCTTCCAATCCCTTCCATACATTACACATTCACACACGCACGCATTTACAATTAATTAGACATGCATGCATACATACATATATGTATATATGTGTGTGTGTGTGTGTGTGTGTGTGTGTGTGTGTGTGTGTGTGTGTGTGTGTGTGTATTATATATAGAGAGAGATAGAGAGAGAGAGATTTCTATAGTATTATTTTTAAAATATTTAAAATAAAATTTATAAATATTCCGTATTACTTGAAAATATCCAGTATTGAATTAAATTTTGTTTTACTTAAATTTTATTTTTAGTTAAATTTTGAGTTAAAATATTCATCTGATAAAACGATTACCACACTAAAAAAACGATCGTGTTTGTAATCTGGCGATTAAGCGGCGAGCAGATGCTGTAAACAATATGTAGAAAAAGTACTCTGACGTTTCTTTTATCTATTTGCATTTGTCAAACAGTGCTTGTCGACGATTTTTCTTCACTAAAATGCTAATCCGTCAAAATCGGGTTTGACGTGAAATGTGCACGCTCTCTCTCAAAGTTTAATGCTTCCCTCGGTACATTGATGAACGAGACACCTGCCTCGCTCGAGTACCGCAAGAGACTTTCGTGACGAGTTTTCAGTAGGAGGAGTAATCCGTGCCGTACCGAAAGCCAATCTCTCGTTTTAGCAACGACCGCGATTGTCGTCATTCAGAGGACGGCTAACACCGGACGTGATTTCACGTGACAGCTGTTATGATGACATGAATTCAAGAGAGCTTTCCTCAACATCGAAATATCGCAGTTGCGACGATATCGCTTGAGAATAGATTACCTCGTTGTTTTATGGTGCGGCTACGAAGGCTTTTCTTCCTCGTCTCGTGCAGTCCCTCCCTCCTCCATGTTTCCTTCGACCGCAAATCTCCCGTTTCGGAAAAGAGCTCCTTTATCGTCCGCCGACTTTTAGGAAGAGGAAACCCAAGTCGACGACGGCAACGCCTGTGTCTCTTTGCAGCAAACGAGCAACGGATAAATATTGTAATAATGCTTGGATGTGACTTCACGAGCAGCTGTCGCGACCACAATCTCTTCGTGACGAACCGTGCGATTATTCGTTTGCTGTGTCGCTGAAAATTCTATTAACTCTAGGAACAGTCGACCGCGACAGGCCAAATGTGAAACTTGAAGATGAACTCGTTTAATAGCTATTATTATGTGAGACAGTATCATGAGATGTAAGATGTAAAACAAAATATTGCGAAACACGGAAAGACATCACATGATTTTGATTTTTATTCATGTCTCTATCATTTTTCCTATTTTGCTTTTTCTTAACAAAGTAATTAGACAAAAGAATGAGTGCGCGCACACACACATAAGTATAGATATAGTAAAGCTATTTAGTACCTGGAAAAACCTGGAATTTTCAGGGAGTTGTTTTTTTATCCTTAAAAATTAGGAATCAAAGTTTATCGAACATGAACATTTTTTAGAATTTTAAATTTAAATTCTATCTTTCTAAAAACATTGGTTTTAAGATTTTAATAAAAGGAATCTTTTTCTTTGTAAACAACTTTAACCGTCCAAAATTTTACTACTGACTTTAAACTTTCTTGACACAAAAAAAATTTTAATATTTTTTTTTAATGAAAAAGACTCCGTGTGTTTGAAACATATTTTTTTATTTATTTATAATAAACTGTTTTTTCTACTATAAGGTAGAGCGGGGCTATTTCGTCAGTTTCAACTTTAAAACAACACGAAAATTTCCAATAGCAAACAAGATCTCTTTCCATTGACGTGTTTATAATTACATTATACAGTCATGATTGCTTGAAAGCATAAACACAATTTTTAAATAATTAACTTATGCTGTTCAGAGGCATAAACATTATCGCGAGAAATGGAGGAAAAATTCTCGCAATACCATTGATTTACATTAGTATATCGTGTTGCATAATAATACGAGCTTAATTTTCACATACATATATTATATATATATATATA